GCCGCCCACCTTCCCTAGAATGTAGCTGATGACCATAAAAAGTTCGAACTCAATCAGATAAATGAAGCACGAATGAGTAAAAGCAGACCAAACGTACCACGAAAACCACAACTAAAAACATTGATACTAACCACAAAAATTACATAAGTCATCGTGGCCCAAAAGATAAGACCTCCGGTGCATTCGTATGTAGCGATGCACCAGTGTTCGAATCCCGCAGGCGGGTACCAATTTTTCTAATGAAATACGTACATAACAAAACTTCACGATTGACTTCCACGGTGAAGGAATAACATCGCGTAATAAAATCAAAGCCGCAAAATTATAATTTGCGTAATTACTGGTGGTAGGACCTCTTGTGAGTCCGCACGGGTAGGTACCACCGCCCTGCCTATTTCTGCCGTGAAACAGTAATGCGTTTCGGTTTAAAGGGTGGGGCAGCCGTTGTAACTATACTTGAGACCTTAGAACTTATATCTCAAGGTGGGTGGCGCATTTACGTTGTAGATGTCTATGGGCTCCAGTAACCACTTAACACCACACAAAAAAATAAAAATAAACATAGTGTTTAATGCTCGATAATAGGAATTGCCTTTTGGAGTAGGAACTATGCCTAAATCAATCAACGGCCTCTCTAGTCTAGTGGTTAGCGACCGCGAGTTAATTCCGAACGAAATCAATACCTTTGTTAAATATATTCCGCATTTAGGATATGTATGTGCCTACAAGTTATAGTCTCCTTATTTTCAGTACACATAATACAGAAGAAAAAGCTAGTTCGGAGTAATTGATGATGAAATGCCAATTGATACAATAAAATCAATCATTATTTAACAATAGCATTACTTTACAATATTTTTATATTACGTAATGCCTTCATTCGAAATCTTCATTATATGTACATATCACATTCAAAGCAATTAACAGATTTGGTATCTAACCTATCGATACCACAATAGCAACACGGTCAGTTGGACGTAAGCAATGGATATCAGTTCATGCAAGAAAGAGCAGTTTGAGTTTTAAGAATTCTAATGAGCGTCGTTCGTGTTTCGATAAAGCCATCGGGAATATATCAGGAAAGATTCAATTGTGAAATAATCTTCTTCATACAAATTTCCAACTTAAAATACATGTGTGAGACTTGTTAAAACCTCAATCATGTGTTGCCTCTTTTGGCTCCAGTGTCTTTTGGCGGTTAAAGACGTTGAGTCTGCACTTACAGACATCACTATCCTGCCTAATTTTGTTGCAACACAGCTGGTTGTATGATGCTTTAGCAGCATCTTATCTCCAAAGTGAGAGTTGTGTAAGGTTACAAAGGTCTTCACCAAAGTGCGAGTGTCCCATACGTTAGTAAGTCCCCGATGCCACATGGTAACCATACCATAGCGATTTCTTCTGCGTTTTGAAAAATCGAAGGGATATTGGTACTTCAACTTTGATGTTCACTCCGGTAACTTATTAACACAACGTGGTCCATAGAGCTTTTGTGTAATAAAAAAAATATACTTTTGTTAGTTAAAAACTATCGGTGCATGAATAATCAAATAACTTCTGCATGGACGCGTTCGATTTGTTTGAAAAATTAGTTTTGAACACATGAACAATGTAATTTACAACTTTAAAGTTGTGATTATGTTTTAACGAAGTTTTCTTGTGAACATTTGTTTCCTATTTAAATTTAAACAAGAGTTGTTATTCGAAAACAGTATTTGTTTGTTTGGATTGTTACATCAAGTTGTTTTACGTATAAATTACGCTCAAGTTACGTGTTCAATGTTTGTATTGTTTGAATGTGGCATTAAGAATAATAGACGGTGAAACGTTTTGCATTTTGATTAAAATCAAATGGTTTAAGCAACGAGATAGAGAGAGAGAGAGAGAGAGAGAAGCGAGTCTTCAATAAACTTTTAATGCTACTTAAAATGAATAATTACTAAAACTTAACCACGGAGATGAAAAACGTAATAAGCTACATACGTTATGTCTAAGCAAAGCACCTACACTTACAAGATTACACGAGTGAGGTCATGTCCTTTATGGGCGGGATATGTAAGAAAGAGTCTATGCGAAGCGTCGCAACACTGCGTTAACATCGTAGGATCTCATTTGCACTACGAAAGACTACATCGTCGTTAAAATTAGCGTAGCTTCTATAATACCTATATATCAATCTAATGTACTGAACAAAATAATTGTTGGTGAATTAGTTTGTCCGATTCTTCGCGTTGGTTTGCTAGCTCAAGCGTATTTTATCTTTACGACTTGAAATGTATAAATACATTAGTTTCTGGCACTTCAGGGAATACTTTGTTACACTACTATTAGCATAAGATAGATAATGTGCAAGCTGTTTTAAAAAATGGGCTATTTTCCTAAGCTCACCGAAAGTTAAGCTACACTGACCGTTTTTCGTTGCTAATCAATATAATTCTGGAATAAGACGCTATTCAACGCATTTTTATTATTGTTTAAATGAGTTTTCAAATGTCTCTGAACATTTTCGGCTCCCGAAACCAAGTGTAATATGAATGTAATTTTTTCCGGGCTTTGATACAATTTCTTTTTTGCTATGTGTGAATGATGGCAATACTAACTGTATTGTAGCTAGCTATATTAAAAGTGATTTTTCATCATTTTATTGGCGCACTGATGGTAATCAAATATCAAGCTACTGTACTCTAATTGAGCAGTTCCATTTTACTTCAATTTCGAGATTTATTCCACAGAAGATATATATGATTTTTATACAGTAAGTAAAAATCGTCCATAATTACAAATATTGCGTCTAATAGTTAATCCGGGGAATCTTGAAGAACTCAAATACTTATTTAACAAGCGCCCAGTAAAAATAACAATATTGTAAAAGAAATGTTTACTCTGATTTTACATTTGCTATTTCTCTTTGCTTACTTTTTCATTCATCAATAAAAGCTGCTATAAAACTCCTTTGAGTTCCGCTAATAGCAAAATATCTAAGTAATTAAAACCAGAGCTGATATTGGCTATTTCAAATCCATAGTATATCGCTTTGAAAATAAGGAAATGAAAAGTTAACAGACCGTGTGTAGAATACCGATATGATGTTTGCAAAACAATTGGATGCATGTTTACACAATGTTTGATATGATCGCTTCGCTTGCAGGTGCTTCAGCTATTCAAACGACATGTTTGGTGAATTATTACTTTGTAGTTTCCATATTTGGTTCTTCAATAATTTTGGTTTTGTTGACACTAGAAGATATATATATTTTTTTTAAATCGATTGCGACGTATTTCGATCCTCTACGATTAGTTACCACATTGTCCACTGGTGGTAGAACATCTTGTGAGTCCGCACGGGTATGTACCACCACCCTGCGTATTTCTGCCGTGAAGCAGTAATGCGTTTCGGTTTGGAGGGCAGGGCAGCCGTTGTACTGTAAAAATTGAGACTTAAGAACTCATATCTCGAGGTGGGTAGCGGCATTTATGTATGTCGCAGATGTCTATGAGCTTGCCGTGAGCTCGTCCAACAATATAAGTAATTAAAAAAACTGGTGGTAGGACTTCTTGTGAGTCCGCGCGGGTAGGTACCACCGCCCTGCCTATTTCTGCCGTGAAGCAGTTATGCGTTTCGGTTTGAAGGGCGGGGCAGCCGTTGTAACTATACTGAGATCTTAGAATAGAACTAATATCTCAGGGTGGGTGGCGCATTTACGTTGTAGATGTCCATGGGCTCCAGTAACCACTTAACACCAGGTGGGCTGTGAGCTCGTCCACGCAGATAAACAATAAAAAAAAAAGTTACAAAAACAAAATTAAAATATGGATTAGAAAAGACACAAATATAAATTCTAAGCAATAAAAAATAAAAAAAAACTATATTGCCTATTTCAGCCACGAAGCAATCTTATGTATGAGTTTGTAGGGTAAGAAATATTAAACTTTGTATAACTTTGCGTTGAATTCACCCGATCGGTCGCAGGATTTGTTAAATATTCACTAGAAAAATTAATTGCTCAAGGTATTGGGATTACTTTCCTCGAAAGGGTTCGGGTTGGCTTAGATGAAATTACATACCTTACGAAAAGGCTAACCTTATTTGTTACAAATCGAAATATTTTTATATGAGTTATATTGAAAAAAAAAACGAAAACGCATCTGACAAACCGCTGGATAAAACTTACAGCTCAGACGTTTTACTTCAGTAAAACAGTTATCTTTCACCACGTCTAGCCATAGTATTAAAGCAGCTCTTTACATTTTAGCCTCCCATTTTGCTGGGAGCTGCTCGTCTACTTTGTCCGCATTAAGGGTAATACGCCACATTAAATTGAGAGCATCACAGTCGAGGACCGCAATAAACGTCCTCAAACGAAATCACGGCCATTACGGAGACGCTGCCACGAGTGTTCGCAACATTTTAACTGTACAGTGCAATATTTGTGGCCTGCGGTACCATGTTCGCGAGTTCGATGGCATTAGCACCAATACGGCTCAACTCACTAATTGTAACGAAGTACTAAGCCTGATAACAAAATTGAGCAGTAAGGTTATACGATAAGTAAACAAAATTTAAAAATCGCCTCGTTTAAAATACCGGTTCTGAAGCTATTGCTGAGGACTCCAGTTAATATCTTCGTATCCAACGTCATCATCAAAATTCTGAACGGTAAACACTGCGAAATGCGCAGTACAGACAATAGTAATAAGAGACATTATTACTGGTGGTAGGACCTCTTGTGAGTCCGCGCGGGTAGATACCACTACCCTGCCTATTGCTGCCGTGAAGCAGTGATGCGTTTCGGTTTGAAGGGTGGGGCAGCCGTTGTAACTATACTTGAAACCTTAGAACTTATATCTCAAGGCGGGTGGTGCATTTACGTTGTAGATGTCTATGGGCTCTAATGATCACTTAACACCCGGTGGGCTGTGGGCTCGTCCACCCTTCTGAGCAATAAAAAAAAAATTTACATCTTGTGGCTAATGAATTAAAATACCTTTTTTTTCTACAGGCAAGCCCCCGGACTTCATCGCTTTCGCCATTACTCTTTTGATGATGCTCGTCCTGATCGCTGGCGTGAGGAAATCGCTGATGTTCAACAACATCCTAAACTCCATCAACCTCATAGTTTGGGTGTTCATCATGGGCTCCGGTCTCTTCTACGCCGACTTCAGCAACTGGACTGATCATAAGGGTTTTCTTCCGTACGGATGGAACGGGGTACGTACACATATAGGTTTTATCACCGTTTATTAACAGAGAAACTCCCGATATTGTACAGAAATTATCATAGTCCTTAGTCATTACATCGCTGTACCACACTTATGGACGTCAGTAAAGCCAGCATCACATCCAGGCCACTACCTATCGAAAAAAAATGTTTTTGATTCTCTTTTTTATTGCCCTTGTAGGCAGACAAGTATACGGCCCACCTGATGGTGAGTAGTTACCGTCGCCCATGGACTTCAACAATGCCAGGGGCAGAGCAAAGCCGCTGCCTACGCTTAATACTCTCCACAAGTCTCGTTTGAAGAAGGACATGTCATAGCGCTCATATGATACTCATATGATAGCGGAAATACCGGAATGCCTAGTCACATTTTTATTGGAATAATATATTTATACGCTCAAAACCGATATGAGAGATTGTCATAATAAATACAGGGCTAAGAGCGATAGTATAGACGAATTGTTTTAGAGAGAGAGAGAGAGAGAGAGAGAGAGAATACACTTTATTCCACACCAAAACACAATTTACATACAAAAACCAATCAAAAAAAGCAGATACATTTGTACAATAGGCGGTCTTATCGCTAAAAGCCATCTCTTCCAGACAACCGTTTAATTTATAGAAATTCTGGAAAATATAAAAAACTAGTTTTAGATGCAAACCTAATAAATGGAAAAGGCTACCGTGATCACGACTGTATGCAAAACTTTGGGCTACCAGAGATCCAACAATAGTCGTTGATCCCGTTCACACAGATCGTTTGGAACTGCTGGGTCTACAGAGGGACTGTAATCTTTTCTGTTTTGCACCATATTCTCCATGAGAAGTGCTCTGAGGAATTATTCAATATGATCCCTCCATCTACTACTCTCTAACGTCGCATCTCCCACCACGGCATTAGAGCTTATCCATACTAATTGGAATCGCTGCGTTCATCCACAGTGCGTTTCCAGAGATATTTTGTTCGTTGTACCATCCGGATCTAGAACGAACTTCCCTCCACGGTGTTTCTCAAATGCCTTGACATGCTCTTCTTATTCTTTCAAACGAGATGGCTTTCGCCCTGGAACTGCTGATGTCCATGAGCAACAATAACCACTGACCGTCAGGTGGTCCGGCAACCAGAATAAAAGCGCTAAAGAAATGAAAAATTTAAATTCAATTTTGGGGCACATCATGAAAACGGCTAATGGAGCCATGAAAAAGAAAATTAATTATAATTAACCAACATTTGAAAGTGTTATCAAAGTTAAGAGTCCCATTTAATTTCACTTTCTAGGACAAATTTCTTTTTATTTTACTAATGATTTTTATAGTAATTTATAAGATTTGTTTTTGAACTGAAAACTTATAATACAAATTTGAATATATAATATACTATTTAAGAATTAAAAATCAATATATAGCAAGTATTTAAGTAAGTAAGTACCTATATGTGTCGGTGTTCGAATCCCGCAGGCAAGTACCAATTTTTCTAATGAAATACGTACTTAACAAATGTTCACGGTTGCCTTCCACGGTGAAGTAATAACATGGTCTAATAAAGAATGAAGCTCCCATAATTATGATTTGCGTAATTACTGGTGGTAGGACGTGTTGTGAATCCGCACAGGTAGGTAGCACCACACTGCCTTTCTGCCGTGAAGCAGTAATGCGTTTCGGTTTGAAGGGTGGGGCAGCCGTTGTTACTATACTGAGACCTTAGAACTCACATCTCAAGGTGGCGGCATTTGCGTTTTAGATGTTTACGGGCTCCAGTAACCACTTAACACCAGGTGGGCCGTGAGCTCGTCCACCCAGATAAACAATTAAAAAAAAATCCAAAAACAAAATTAAAATATGGATTAGAAAAGACACAAATATAAATTCACTTTTGTATAACGTTCCACGCTGAATTAGGCGTCCGCTGGTCTTAGCTGATTATCATTGTCAGCCATCTTTTCTTGTTTGAAGAAGAAAATTCAGTGCTGAAGAAACATCGAAGAACCTAATGTTATCGACTAAAATAGATAGCCGCTGCTTTGTGGCTACTATAATAGAAAAATCTCCGTTCAATCTGATATTAAAAATATTTTCTGCGGTATTCGCTAAGACATCTAAGCAATAAAAAAAAAAAAAAAAAAAAAAGACTTGGTACGTACGTGTCTTTTTCAAATGACTCTTCGAAAGAAAATGAAAGGTTGGTTTCAATGAGCACAGTCCATGAAATTTACTCACAAAAGTCTCCCTGTCTACATACGTCAATTAAAATAAATCGAATTCCGAGGAAGGCTTTCAAAAAAAAAAAGCGGCCTATTATGCAATCAGATTAGGATATCGATCTTCAGAACCAACTTTTAACACAGACACGTACTTACGAGTTCTGAATTAAAGATAGGGCTGTCAGCTTTGAATAAAAGATAGAAAATAAGGGGAAGGAGTAGATAGCACTGTCTATGAACCTACAAAAGTAATTCTGTGACAACGAAAACCACAACGCCAAAGTTCCTTGAAAAAAATTTGTTGGAAGGCTTTGGCAGGATGGAGTAATTTTTTTGAGACCAATCAAATTAACTCTCTACACACTGATTCTCGCCATCATTCGTCAAAGTTACGACAAGACCAATTCTTATGGCTAATATGTATTCATTATTAAAAAATTCTTTGCAACCCTATATACGATCCTAGTTATATAGACGTTCAATGAATTGTAGATATTCGGGTCGACTCCTTCGAGCGATTCCGTAATTTGAACTAAATTTGATTTAGTGGTGTTCGTGGAATTCAGCGTACGTGTGAAGCGATGAATAAGCTTATTTTTTTAAAGGAGAACAACTATTTTATGAAAAGAAATAAGAAGGTTTCTTTTGTCCTTAATACACACAATGCCACTGAGATAAATAAATATTTATTTATATATTTGACAACACTTGACAAGCAATTGCACGTAAAAATCATTAAACCGCTCACACAAAGGCGTGACAAATAAATCCCCAACACCGGAATTTAGTACTGGTCACTCAGCAACTAGTATTAGAAATAAAATATACAAAAACATTTATTTTCTGCAATAAAGTAATCTCATTTTGAAAAGCATATCAGAACATGGCTGGTTATAAATATAATTGAGATCCCTCGGTGTCACACTAGTTTTTTTACGTGACGTCCATTTGATTTTAATAAAATGAATTTGGTTTTCTTAGTGTTTTAGAACTAAATAAAATCGTAATTAAATATTGATTATAGGATCGTGACTGCCGCTTTGATTTCTATTTAAACGGACAACTGACTCGAAGAACGCAGATAAAACGCGCATTAAGCCAAACAAACTACAAGTTGCATTGTAACGCAATGTCTGTTCTTTACTGCAATCCACTCAGCGTGGCGGTAATTCTACGGAATTAACTAAACGAATAGACCGAGATCCGCCTCTGCTAACGAACTTGGATTATTTTAATTTGATCATGGCTAATTCAGTTCTTGTGCCTAATCTTATTGCAAACTTGGAAAAGAATCGTACTTATATAAAGCCAATGATAGCAGTATGTGCCAATAATAGTGTGTTAAAAACAACATTAACATACTGTAATGAACAGTGCAAATGCTACAGAAATTTTATATATTCAATATTCACATTTCTAAAAATAGACCTAAGGATCTACTATATCCAAATAGGAGATCAAGAGTCAACTGCACAGATATACGGTGACATCATCTTATACTTAGCATTGTTTATTGTGAATTGAAATTGTCTTTTGAAAGTAGGCACGCTTCTCGTCCAAAGTATTTTTGTTCACTAATACGAAGTAGGTTTATAAATAAACCTGTGTCAATAACCACAACACTCAATTTGAAAGTGACGGGTAAATTTGATTCTAAATTAAGATTCAATTAAAGTTTTGATGGCGGCGGAGGAAGCTGGGTCGAACCGGTTTAGTCGATCAGACTATTTATAACAAAGATCTTTAAGCGATATTTATCATTGTATAAGATATGCCGAGCATTTAGTTTTTGCTGGGACGTGGGTCGATTAGTCCGTCAGTCGATATCTTTATAACATTGCTTAATATTCACACGTGGATCTATTTAGGCTACTCGGGTGCATTAAGCAACTTTTCCCGGCTCTAAATCCAGCACAAGTGGCACTATTCGACGCATCCTTGAGGTTGAAAGTGTGCCGAGGACTGTCTACTTTTCCACTTACTACGCAATGTTCACATATAAAATACAGAGAAGTTTCCTCCTTTTCTGTAATACAGTACCTGAAGGTTGGAGCGAAAACAAGAAAGATAATCTAATAATAGTTAATCAATGTTTCTCCTAACCGAACAACGTCATTTATCCTTGACATTGAATGTGAATGTCAAGGGCTCATATTTCTAGATCAACCAATATTTGACGAAGAAACTCATCATTCCAAATTCATTCCTCCTGTTTTGAGAATAAAGTTTAAGCTTCAATGAACATTTCCACCTGTTGCAGGGGCTAGCCGTCTAGACATTGACATGATTTCAGCTCTATTCATAGTTTAAATTCTATTCGAGCGGGAGGGCCTTATTAAGTTCCTTATCGGAAAATTGATCTATGACAAATCTATTGGTTAGATAACACATTTGTACAAAAAATATTTCGTTCTTTGTCCTAACGTTTATACTAGGTTTTTCCGGTTAATTATTCACAAAAACGAAAATAAAATACCTTTTTTGGTATAAAGTTTGCTTTTGTGATAGTTATAGTAATAATACTCATTTTTTAATTTGTTTATAAATTTTAATTAATTTTAATACTTTCAAAAAATCGCGCTATGAGAGTGGGTGTTTACGTTTACAAAGTGCCACTAGATGGCACTCGAGTCATAAACAACGATCAGGTGTTTTGTACAAGCCCAGAAAAACTTAAAATGTTACGAAAGTGTAAATACGATGCTGATGCATTTTGTTTCATATGTGGTCAATTGATTAAAGTTCAAAAGCAAACTGTTTCATGCCATGTATTTTCTTTTCTTCTAATT